GTGGCTGCTAAAGTCGAGCGCGATAAGGAACTGGAAGATAAGCGCGTGTTGTGGGTACGCCGAAGAGAGATAACAGAGTAAACAACTGGTCGTTGCCCTATCAATATTCGGGACCGTCAGCACATCGCAGCGGAAAGTCGGTACGAGTAAACCGATACGCACCGATCGGTTACCATGTCCAGTACTGCGCCGAACTTTGACGCCTGACCCAGATACCTGGCCGCGTGTCCGTCGACGGCATCCAAAAGCTGGGAGACGCAATACGCGACGGTCGAATACTTTGGGTGATGGTTCATGTAGTGCATGGCGAGAGCGGCGAGGATGATTCGACTGTACCCTTGACGTCCGGAAACGGGAAGAAACGTTGAAGCAAGCAAACACACACACACGCGGCAACGATGATGAATGAGGAGGAAGAAGCGTTTGAGGGGGAGTTGTTATGTGGGGTCGTGGTTTGGGAGGGGTGTTGGAACTCACCGATGAGATTGGGCACGAAGAGGAAGACGTTCTCGGAGTAGGATTGGGCTGTCGCGAGGTCCACGGCGGATTTTGCGTCTACGACTTCGATGACTGAGGCTCGTCTCCGTTTGAGCACTGCGTCGATGCGTGAGGAAAACGCGGAGGCCGCGTTGGGTTTGGTCTCTGACATCCTTCTGAATGGGTTGTTTGTGTGGATCTAAGGGAAGAAAGAGGGGGAGGTAGGAAGGAGGGAGGGAGGAGGAAGTGCGCTAGTGAGTGGATGACGCAGAGCTTCACTGGTGTCACCCGATCGACCACCATGAAGGTTTCCTTCTCACTCGCCAAAAAGCCCCAACCCACCTCCCAGTTCCAACTCAAGAAACCCCCGGCGCCGACACAGAAACCATCTCTGTTTAACGCCGACGATGACGATGACGAACGCTCGCTCACCTCCGACTCGAAGCCGACCAAGAACGGGCTCGGGCTCCAGACCGTTTCGGCGGAGGCGTCTAAAGCGCAGAAGAAACGCGAGCTGGCTGAGATGGCCGTAGATTCTACCGTCTATCAGTACGACGAGGTGTGGGATAAGATTCAGGTGGCGAAACAAAAGGTGAAGGAAGCTAAGGTAGCTGAGTCTAAGGAACGGAAGGTCCGTCCACCCACTCTCTCTCCGCATCGAACGTGCCTCCTGACAGAATGACGGTTTGGCAGCCCAAGTATATTGAGGGACTGCTCACGTCCGCCAGTACTCGAAGGCTGGACCGCCTCCGAGCAGAGGAAAAGATGATCCAACGGGAACGTGAGATGGAGGGCGAAGAGTTCAAGGATAAGGAATCCTTTGTCACTCAAGCCTACAAAGACCAGATGGCTGAGCTTCGTAAGGCTGAAGAAGAGGAGAAACTGCGAGACGGTACGTCTTATTTACCATGCTCTCCTCTTGCCCGTGAATATTGATCACTTACAACGCAGAGGCTGAGAAGAAGAAACGCAAGGGGTTCGGTGGTGGGATGGCTCAATTCTACCAAAAACTTCTGGAGGAAGAAGCTAAAGCGCACGATGAGACGGTCGCCCTCACCACATCCTCCTCCGATCCATCCTCGAGCAAACAACCTTTAGGGCCCAACCTCACGATCACAAAACCCCCCACTTCCGCACCACCAATACCCGGCACGAAATCGGATCTGGAACTCGTCAATGAGGCAGCCCAGAAGGGCATAGAGATCGAGTTAAACGACGACAACCAGATTGTGGACAAGCGGGAGCTCTTGGCTGCAGGTCTGAATCTGTCTATGGCCAACACCCGAAAGCTCGGTTCGAAATCATCTGCCCTTTCCTCGTCAAACGCATCTTCGGAACCGGTAAACGCCCATCGAGCGGCGGGAGTCGCAGCCTCTCGGAGCGCAATAAACACGCGTCGAGCGATGGAGATTCAGACTCAGATCGCTGAAGAAGAAGAGAGAATGCGGTTGGAGAGGGAAAGGAGGGAGAGAGAAGCCAATGAGCGTATCATTGCGAAGAGGAATAGCGAGGAGGACATCCAGAGCGCGAGGGAGAGGTACTTGGCAAGGAAGAGGAGGAAACTTGAGGAGGAACAAACTGCGCAAGACCAGCCACAGGCGGATGACGGCCAACAGCCCAGCTAATGTGTTGGACCGATAATCGTGTAGAGAGGAGCTATCCGCGGTATAATCTAATTGTAAATGTATTATAGTGTGCCCCTAATGGCTAATGATTTGGAACTGCAGGTTTTGGATGCGAGGTGTAAGGAGCGCTGTTCAACCTCTCCTCGGATATCTTCAGGATGGCCTCCCCGAACAGCCTCAGCACAACCTTTGCGCTCGGTCTCTTTTCCCATTGGGGTTCCAACATGCTTCTGGTGATCGGACACAGTTCGGGGACGGCGTACCCGGTCGACATACCCGCTTTCGAGATCAACATACCCAACGCCCACACGTCCATGGCGTACGGTGAAGTCGAATGACCCTTCTCCACCTCCGGTGGTACCTCTGTCGCTCTCGGATGATGAACCAACACGCTGCTGTGCGGATCTTCCCCCTGCTCAATCTCCACCGGCGGCCGGCAGAACCGTCTGCTCGTCTCGTAATCGATGTATGCATACCGTCCGGCGTAGTCCGTGAGCACGTTCCGTACGGCTATGTCGAGATGAGCGAAACGGTGGGTGTGCATGAATGTTATGTGTTGGATGCAGTGGAGGAGGGACGTTAGGTACGACCGGAGGGTGTGTGGTTGATCTGGGGGAATGAACTCCGAAGACCACTCTTCCATGATAACAAAGGAGAGTTGATCTCGGTACGCCCCGTGAGAGAAGGCGTGTGGGGGGTCTAGAGGAGCATGGATGATGTCGAGAACGGCTGAAGAACCGGAAAGTCAATAAACGGAAACAGTGGTGCACATCTATATGCACTTAGATGATTGGAGATCGGGTCGACTCACGTATGCAATGATTCATCGGATCGTCTCTGAGCGGGGGAGTACTCAATGCAGTAATGACGTCGAGCTCTCTCGACCGTCTATGAACTGCCTTGATTACAATCTGTAGATTGTCGGAAAGGCGTTTACCCCGGAATAGTCGCTCCGGCTGTGGGTGTGGGTGTGAATCGAGTGCCGAAAACGGAATCGTGGTCAGTTTCTTACCGCCGAGAATTTATAAGAGGTATATGGTAATGAACATCTGATCAAAAACGGGGATTGTGGACGTAAGGTCGGCAACGATGGAACAAGAATAAAAAAAGTACGGAGTAATGAAGTCACGTGGGGAAGGCGAGGGACTCACTAGACCTTCGTCTCTACATAACTCGTTCTCGTCTCTGTCCTCTCGACGCGCAGATCTGTAGCCGGCGTAGGTTTCTAGGCTATGTTGGACGTTTCTGGCTTCCCAGTAATTGATGTAAAATTGACGGACGTCTTTGCACGTGTCAAGGTGATAGCCATGGGACTCGAAGAGCTGACGGTAAGATTGCCAACACGGGGCTACGCGGTGGTTGCGTTCTTCTTCGTCTTCATCCTCGTCGCTGTCGTCATCGTACGAAGCGGAGGTAGACGGAGACGGAGAAGGAGCGCGATCGAACACACCGATGTCAAGATCGGCGGAGGCAGATGAGAGGGGCGGATCGGAAGTAAGCGGAAAACAGGTCACGGTCATCTTCGTGAACGAGAGCAGAGTCATAGAACGGGGACATTTTCAAGGCTCTGGTTTTTAAAGCGTTCGCGGCTAGAATATCGTCTGATTCCTTTAAAGTTGAGCAGACGAGTAGGTGAGAAAGAATAGTCGAAGAGGGAGAGGTTTGGTCCATCGCAGTGAATTTGTTTCTAAAACGGGTAGGCGTATCTGATCCATGAGAAAAAAGGACCGTTTTGAGCAGCAGGGAACTTATTCAAGTTGGAGACCGGGGATGCTGCCTCCGATAACGATATTACACCTCACGCTCGGTCCAAGGGCAGAAAGCGCAGCGGGACAAGGCGGAGAGATCAACGCAGCAAGTGGCCAAGCGGTGTGATCGGGGAGCTCGGCTGGCTCATACTCCAGCGAAGCAGTGCGGCACAGCCAACAGGGATTCTACCCCCGGGGATGCTGTATGGGAGAGGATTCGCCGGGGCCAAGTCAATTTGGGTGCGGCGCAGTTGGGAAGCGTGATAAGCGTCACGAGTCTCGTCACAGAAGACACCGCTACGGAGCGGTGACGTCGCTAGGATCGGCTTGCGGGTTGGGTTATAAAACAACGCCGAGAATCTGCTTCTCTCCCCTTCTCCTTACCCCACGACTCTCATCATCCACAATGGCTTTCACCGGTTCAGACATCTGCAAGGTACGTGTTCCCTTCGAGAAGCACCAACTTTCATGCACCTTGCTCATTTCGTTTGCAGATCATGTACGTCCCGCTTCGAATGCTGTCGGAATCATGACCGAGCCTCACTTTTTGCTAGCTTCGCCATCATTCTCCCTCCTCTTGGTGTTTTCCTAGAGAGGGGATGTGGTGCTGACCTGTTAATCAACATTCTTCTCGTATGCATCCATTTTCGTTCTTGCCTTTCCCACATAACTGACGTCACATTTTCAGACCCTTCTGGGTTACATGTACGTTCATCCTTCTGTTCACCCTTCATTCTCAGCTTATTCAAACCTCCTTCGATAAGCCCCGGAATCATTCACGGTACGTGGTTTAATTTAATGGTCCGACCGCACATGTCCTGACTATTTCCCTTGAATAGCACTCTATATTATCCTCAAATATTAGTGCGGCGCCGGTCGGCGAAACCTCCCGCTACTTGCTACCAAGTCCACGTATTCGGACGATGTTTCTTTTCTCTTCACGACATATTATCACGCAGTAATGTAGAGAGGCCTTCACTCCTTCGCAATTGCTGTATTTCTACTGCCAGAATGACACCACTTTAATGTGACGATTTTTTGATGGAACCATTGGCCGCCAGGTGAATAACAAAGCACAAATAGAAGGCTTCGGGCGCTAATGTCAGTGTGTGAGCGGTCTGTGAAAACAACAAACGATACCGTCCCAACTGGCCGTGTGGCGTAATGGTAGCGCGTCTGACTACGAATCAGGAGGTTGTAGTTTCGAGTACTACCTCGGTCATTTTTTTCCTCACGCGTCAACACGTCGGAATCTTTCCGTCGTGCCGGTCTCGGATTTGGAGCGTCGACCACATTCTCCTCCGCTTTCTTGCATGTTCATCCGCTCTTCGTCACGGTCGATAGCCAGCAACATCTCGTCGACTGGGACACGATTTCACCAGGCTTCCATCTCCTCCACCAGATTATCCAGGTATCCTGGACGGTCGAATCCAAAATTCGCCAAACGCGATTCCTCTTCCTCGATCCCGCCTCCCGATGACCAACCCTCTGCCTCCTCCTCACTAGTTCCTGACGCTCAACCTGCTCCTCCCCCTCCTTCTTTGCCAGAAGGAGATGCTTTGGGGATTGAAAAACAGAGGCGAAGGAGGACAATTATCACTGTCAAATCTTCTTCCCCGGACGATCCTCCAGATGCCCCTTCGCTACAAAACGGGAACGCCGGTGGGAGCGGGGATGGTCCCTCGTCTTCCCCTCACTCTCAATTACCAGCTTCTCTGGAAATCCTTTGGAGCCCCGAGTCAAACCCCAGAACCTCCACGGCTTCCGACCCTCAAAACGCGAACCTGCCTCCCTCCGAAATATTCGAGGACGTGCTAGACAACCTTCACGTCACCTTCCATCCCAAAACCCAGCATCGGGCCACATACACTCCCCAGGAAGGCGGCTCGACGGTTGAGCCCACGCTCGCTTTGTATTGCCCTATAGAGGGTGGGGATTATGTTATCGACGAAACCGTGAAGGAGCTCGCGAAGAGGGTCGGAGCGGACGTCGTGGTGTTGGATTGTGTGCAGTTGGCGGCGGGCTCGGCTGGGCAGTTTGGCCAAGGTGCGTCTCACCCGCTGCGCGTCCATTTTTGTGTATTGATTATATGCGTCCGACTTAGCTGCGAGCGTGCTTCAACTACCCGACCATCCTCTCCATTTCCAAGTCTCTCCAACGTCCCCGTCGCAATCGTCCTCGAAGCGTTCCGCACTCGCCGCGGAGGATGAAGATTACTACTACCCTGGCCAGTTCCCTACTGCGCATATGACCGTTCACTTGATGACCCCACCGGTCATCTTGAACCGGGTGGGGACTCGCAGTGTTTCCCGAACCACCCAGCCTAAACTTAAATCGTTCTTCGATGATCTGATCAACGTAACGCCACCTCCAGCAGACGCAGATGGTACCGCCGAAGGTTCTACGTCTTCCAGCCCCTCGCCCAGAAAACCCAGGATCGTGTACGTGAGGGATTTCAATACCCTCGCCGCTTCCGCGAGCCACTGGTACCCAGCGTTGCTCCAGTCGGTTCGCCAGAGAAGAGCAGGTCCGATTGCGAGGACGACGTCTCCTGTCCTCAACCCGACAACGATAGTCTTTGGCGTGACGCCACCTTTGGTCCCGAAAGTGCGACCTTCCAAGGGTGCTTCTGGGGCTGGCGGTGTACAAAGTGCGACAAACGTCCTGACGAACCAGCGGTCGGCCTACTCGTCTGAACGCGAGCGTGCTGGGGGATCCAAGAAGTCGGAGAACGGTCGGACGGGTGGCAAAGGGGAATGGGGAGAGGACGAGTCTAGCGATCATGCGAGAGAGAAGAGGTTGAAGGAGCGGTTGAAGAAGTGGGAGGAGGGTGAGAAGTTGCTTCTGGCAGACGAGTTACCCACCCTCCAATTGAACTCGTCGGCTTCTGAAGACCCTCATTCTTCACGAACTGGGGCCTCTTCGTCAGAAGGTGGCTTCCCTGGTCTCGCGGGTATTGGTGCGAGTGGTCTACTCGGCCCGTTTTCGGGGGTGCTTCCTGGTGCTGTGTTGCAAAACCTTATGAGTTCGCCTGACCCTCGTTCTGGTTCTGGACCTTCGTCGTCTTCACCTTCGGTCGATGCGACAGACGGCTCGACATCCCCAAGTAACTTTTTCCGGTCCTCCGTGGTTGTACCCTCGCAGAGATCTGTACAGAACGAGAAGATCTCACGGATGAACCGGAGGAGGGAGATCAACGAGGTTACTGTCCGGATGGCTTTGGCTTCTGTTGGAGGTACTCTTCCCCCCCTCGACGCGGAGTCCCTCGAAAGTGCGCTCTGGAAGGCAGATGCGGACGAGATTCCACTCGCGAAGCGGGCTGACCTCGTGAGAATGTGGGACGCCTGGGGTCGCGTTGTAGTTGTCTGGAGCGTCGTTAAGCAAGCGGCTGACCGGGCGCTCGGATCGGTTTTGGTCAGTCAACAAGAGCACGAGCTTCAGGACCAACAACATGCCAAGTCCAGGAGGATACCGAAGCTAACGTTGGATCCTACCGTTGTTCCGTGGGGCGCAGTTGCTCGGGCGCTCGTAGCGAAAGCTTCCGGGCAGTCGGTGAGGAGGCATTGGGCGAAGGAGACGGCTAAATCTGGAGAAGGGGAGGAGCGTGGTGAGGAAGGGGCGAGTGCGGATGGTAGGAACGGGAAAGAGGAGGAGTTGGACGAGGTGATTGAGAAGCTCAAACAGGATCCTGATCTGGACGAGCACGAGCAGAGGCTGTTAGGGTGTATCGTCGATCCACGTAAGTCCGTTTCCCTGCACGTTACTCGTCGATCGATTGACCTGGTCGCCTCTTCCGGTTCGCGCCCTCCGCAGGGACGTTGACGAGTACTTTTGGACAAGTACACCTTCCCCCACACACGATCGACTCCGTTCGGTCGATTGTGTCTCTCCCGCTTCTTCACCCGCACGCGTTCCAGTATGGTATCCTGAAGGATCATGGGATTACTGGGTGTTTGTTGTTTGGACCTCCTGGTACGGGGAAAACGTTGGTCGTGAGGGCGTTGGCGAAGGAGGCTGAGTGCAGGATGTTGGCGGTTGCCCCGTCGGATGTCATGGACATGGTAAGCTCTTGCGTCTTTATCCCTATTCGCCAGAATCTCACTCCATTGCTTTTATTTTAGTACGTTGGTGAGGGAGAGAAGTTGGTCAAAGCTGTGTTCTCTCTGGCTCGAAGGCTCTCCCCTTGTGTGGTCTTCATCGACGAGATCGACTCCCTGTTTGGAGCCCGCGTGTCGTCTCGTGAGACTGGAGGCGCATTGGCGCACCGAGGGGTCATCACCGAGTTCATGTCCGAGATGGACGGACTTCGTTCAAGCTCTCAAGACCAGAGGGTGGTAGTGATCGGGGCGACGAACCGACCGTTCGATCTGGACGATGCGGTGTTGAGGAGGTTACCTAGGAGGCTGCTCGTTGACCTCCCCGGGGAGAAGGAGAGGAAAGAGATTTTGAAGATCTTGTTGAAGGGCGAGAATGTTGCGGAGGACGTGAGTCTTGATGAGATGGCGAAGCGGACGGGGGATTTCTCTGGATCTGATCTCAAACGTACGTTCTCTGTGTCGTCTGGAGGTAGGGTTTCTGAGCTGACCAGCCTTTTGTGTTCGATAGATCTCTGTGTGGCTGCTGCTCTAGACGCAGTCAAGGCGGGTGTGGTATTGCCTTGGGAGGCCACAAAACCGACAACGGATGGCGTTACCCCTGTTACCCCCGCCGCTCCCACCGCTGACGCCTCCTCCGAGGATGGGACCCGTGTCTTGGTCCTTGAGAACGACATAGATGCATGGGACGAACCCCTTCCTTCTTCAGATGCCAAACCTGCTTCTCCGGAGACAGAACCTACTACTCCCGAGCGGCCCCCTCGGGTGATATCCCTCTCGAACTTTGAGAAAGCGCTGAAGGAGATCACGCCGTCCTCGTCGGAATCCCTCGGTACGTTGAGCGAGCTCAGGAAGTGGAACGACGAATTTGGAGAGGGGAAGAGGGAGAAGAAGAGGAATATGTGGGGGAAGGGGAGTTTCGGGTTTATTGAGAAGGGCGAAGGGCAGGGTGAGATTAAGATTGCGACTAGTGCTGGGTCGACGTCGACGACGACTTCTGGTGGGGGCGGGTCGTCGGTTGCTTGAGCCTTGAGAACGGGACGTGAGTTTGCGCTACCCGTGTGGACGTTAAATCCTCGGCGGCACCTTTTTGAGACAGACTTGACTCTGTAGATGTGGCTGCACCCGACGAGTGAAGCGGAGTACATTATATTCTTGCAACTACTTAATTGACGGTATTCTATATCCCGCTAACTCCTCGGGCTCGAAACGGATGCGAGAATTTGTCCCTGACGGTTGTCTGCAAAGCAAAGGAGAACCACGGGGTCAAGTATTCCGTTATGCGATGATTTTCTCATACCAGGTGCCGGATGTGGGCAGTATTTAGCTCGTTGTCAAGTTACAACGCCCACAGTCAGACTTCGAGCGGACGGGATCATTCGCCAATCTTGGCGTGTTCATTTCTGCTCTGATCTCGCTGATCGACTTTTGCCCGTCATACATCAAGCCATCCGCCCGCCAGGGTATCGTACAGCTTCACAAAAGCATCCACAACACACGAACTCTCGTTTGCGAGACCTTTGGTAGTGAGCCGCACAAAAAATAACACGCTTAGGCTTCACTCCAGGCTGTCAGTCGTAAATGTGAACGTGACCGGGTCAGGCCCTATCCTCTTCTACTCAACCTGGTATTTTATGTTCTGTCACGGGAAACTTGGCTTTCTCCAAGGATGTCTGGACGGCCCACGCAATGCATCACACAAGTCTAGCACAGCTGTTTGCTGGTCCGATCTACGCTCTTGAGCGGTACACGGAACAGTCCTCCCGGTTATGGCACTTTGCAAACGAGGTTATCGGCTGTGGCTGAGGGACGGACTGGTGTCCGGACCATGGCACAACGTTATCTCTGGATCGCCGCGGGATGCGCCGCGATTCATCTCTCTTGGTGATGTCTATAATGTCGGAGTCTCTCGAGGTATTTATGAGGGCTGGTAGGGCTAAAACGATGTTCGAGCGAAGGGCGCTCCAAACCTGTGGCCTGAGGTGGTGCTGAAGGATGTGCGATCCAGAGATTTGATACGGGCCCATTCTCATAAACCCTCGCTGCAATCAAAATGAAAAAGACAGGAACACCTCCTCAATAGTTTTCTGTTAAGGCGCACTGTACGCTAAGATGAGACAGAGTTAAC